TAATCTTGGAAGAGTCTTGCTAATCTTGGATTCTTGGATCCCTTGCTTATCTTGAATTCTTGGATCTTAGTTAACTTATCCTTATCCTAGGAGTTGCCGCCCCTAGGGATGAGATGGGCCTCCATCATTTTAGTTTGTATTCCATTTACTTATTGATCAGCTTTTGGCTACATCTCCTTACACATGCACACAACACAGCATCAGAATTCAGAATTGACTGGTCGAAAGCCCCAATTAAGTTCATCTTCCTTTTTAGGCTCTGTTAGCATTTCCGTAAGTTATTTACTCGAATAAATGCATTTATTCAGATAATTATTTTTCAGGAAAAATTTATCTAAATAAGTACATTTACTCATATTCTTTTATTTCCTATGTAAATAAGACAATGACTATTTTATTCATAAAAATCCATTATTACAATGAGCATTTTTGCCCCTTACCCCAAGGTGGGAAAGTTATTTATCCACATACGAGATATGTATCAATTATCTAGGTAAGTGATACCAAGAAAAATAAACTTATCTGATTCCCACGTAACTTCCCCCCTCTCAAAATCTAAAAAAAGAGTGCCCCCTTAATTTCATATTCCATGCCTACTGCTCTTTCTATTAATTCCATGACATGATGACAGTTGTCTCAACTTCTACCATTAATGTTTCAAGAATCCTTTCAATTAATAAATCATAATCATTCATTGCTCTACCATGTTGATTTAGTTCTTTTAAATTCTAGATTTGCTCGTATCTTGTTGCAACTGAAGGAGAACATAAGTTTGATTAAATATAAAGGAGATGGTAAAATGATTTTTCCTCAATTGTTCAGTCATAATGTTTAAGATTAATAATTTTTGGCATTCAACTAGCCGCCAAATTCATTAATTCCTCATCATTTGATCTTCCACTAATGACAAAATTATAGAACGTTAATTAAGAGATCAATTAAAGACCAAAATAAAGCCAATTGCAGATTAGTCAAGGTGATTCTTCATAACAACTGTCTGGGGATCTTTTTGTGGTTTGTTTGGAAGCACTGTCTCTACTAATTTTTCTTTTGTAGTGAATCTAGACTGAGCCCAGGTGTTTCTTCACAACGATTGCTGAATAGAGTTAGAATTTGCTTCTCATTCGTTTGGAAGCACTACCTTTGATACTTTTGTTTTTTAATGAATCCATACAGAGTTCCTACCTCACCGTGACATCTAGAGAGTGCATATTTTTTATAAAGAAAAAAGCATGTCTAGAGAGTGCATATTTTTCATAAAGAAAAAAGCATGTCTGCTTGCAAAGTTATTCAACAGTGCTTTCGAGCAAACGATGAGAAACCCGTCCCAACAGCCTTTACTGCCTTGCATTGAAAATATCTCCGTTAGGAACAGTGTGGGCACAGGTTTGCCCAGACCCAGCTTTAGCGGTAGACTCTTTGCTCAGAAATGGCACAAGCACAAATACAATCCACCAAAGTTTCTGTTATTCCTTAAATTAATAATCCTAAATGCATTACGTGAATCCCCCCTGTACTAACGGTCTCAATCCATGTCCAACTGTCCAAGGAGGACACAGCTTTTGTGGCCCTCCAACTCCAACTGTCCATTCAGCAATTAGACAATAGTTCTTGCCTTCTTGGTTAAGTACTTAGGTGGTGTTTGGCGCATGTTTTCAGTGTATCTATTAGTTTGCTAAAAGCTCAAAAGACTAAAAAATAGTCTTTTCCGTTTGATGTTACATAGGAAAACTTCAAATAAAGATTTTGGTCTTTCTATGCTGAAAATAGCCTTCACAGCTGTTTTAATTTAACAGCCTGATACACTATGACATAAACCAAACAGCACAAACCCTAAAAGTTCAACGTATCTTCTTTTTGAAAGATCTACTTTAAAAGACTTGTCAAAAGAGAGCCATCCAAATTCTAAAGAATATAAACCACCTTTGTAGCTTTGCCTCCATTTGAGATTAAATAGTTAACCCGCTTTCTCTATTATATTTGCAATTGAATTAAATTTTAAAGAATTTGCGTGAGACAAATGGACCCTTTGTTTATCTGGACAATCCACCCTTGTCCCAACATTTTCAAAGCTTATCTGGCGAAACCCATGAACAGTAAATTCCCTGTGCAGATGTAGGGTGTGTTTGGCCGCGTGCCCCTAAAGAAATTGTCTTGCTCCTTGAAGAACTTGGGTTATGGTTGGTACCGTAGTTGGGGTTTACAGGTCGACCAAACATACCCTCTGTGCATGTGCCTGTGTGGGCTAACTTAGAGGTATCAATTTTGTTCAATTACATCATATGCGCTTGTTTTTCTGTTGATTGCGGATCTATCAAGAAGATACATAGATCCAGATTTCAGAACCTACCAACCCCACCATTTCCCTTCTTCGGTGCTTCAATACTATTTGTATACCTTACAAACAAAAATCTCTTGAATCCCGGGTTACATTCTTCCTCTAAGATGGGGAGGAGCTGGTTTCTGGCTCTTATCCTCCTCCAAATCATTCCATCGAAAACTGCTTTTACTGTTGGTGGTGGTGTGAGTATTGGCGGAGGTAGGGGCGGGGGCGGAAGTGTTTGGGTTGGTGGAGGAATCAACCCTCGCACACCATCTGGGTCTCCAAATTCAAGGCTAAGCAACGCTTACACAGCCCTTCAAGCCTGGAAATCTGCAATAACAGATGATCCACTTGGCATTCTACACAGTTGGGTTGGAAACAATGTCTGTTCTTATAAAGGGGTTTTCTGTGTGGATCCTCAAGAAGAAATGTCCGGAGCACCGGGGCTTGTTGTTGCAGGAATAGATCTCAACCATGCCAACCTCCAAGGCACTCTAGTCAAGGAACTCTCCCTCCTCTCAGACCTCACTCTCCTTCACCTTAACAGTAACAGATTCACGGGTACAGTTCCAGATGCCTTCGGAGATCTCTCATCTCTCACAGAGTTGGACCTCAGTAACAACCACTTCTCTGGTCCCTTCCCTACGGTCACTCTTCTCATTCCAAACCTCATTTACTTGGACCTAAGATTCAACTACTTCTCAGGTCCCATCCCGGAAGAGCTTTTCAACAAGAGACTGGACGCCATCTTCCTCAACAACAACCAGTTTGAGGGCCAGATTCCTTCAAATTTTGGGAACTCACCAGCTTCTGTGATAAATTTAGCAAATAACAAGTTCAGTGGAAACATCCCTCCCAGTTTTGGTTACATGGGTACTGCACTGAAGGAGGTGTTGTTCCTCAACAACCAGTTAACAGGTTGCATTCCTGAGGGAGTGGGGTTTCTGACGCAAGTGGAAGTCATGGACGTGAGCTTCAATTCGTTGACGGGTCATTTGCCGGACTCGATATCCTGCTTGAATGAAATTGAGGTTCTCAATATTGCTCATAACCAGCTATCCGGGGATCTACCTGACCTGGTTTGTTCTCTGAGGAGTCTTCTTAATCTTACTGTTTCTCACAATTTCTTTTCTGGATTTAGCCAGGAATGCACCAAGTTGTTCTTCAGGAACGTGGGGTTTGATTTCTCAGGGAACTGCATTCCTGGAAAGAATATGCAGAGGCCTCAACCAGAGTGTTCTGTGATACCCGGAGATGGGTTGAGTTGTCTGAGGATCCCTTCACCAAGGCCCCTGGTCTGTGGTTCAATAGATCAGACACCACAGGTCAATCCTAGCACTTCTTCTTACAAGTTAGCTCCTTCCAACTCTCATCCATGAGAGAGAGAGAGAGAGAGAGAGAGGGAGGGGAGGGGGGGGGACCATTACATCTCTGTATCACAGAGTCGGTGTTTGTTTCATTTAATGAGGGTAGTTATGACTTATGAACCAGAGCTTCAGGCATTTATTTTTTACATGAATGAATTCAGTAATGAATTCAGTATCCTGATTTCTGAATGGATTATTGTTTGTTTCCCTATTTTGTATAGATAAGAATCAAGATGTATGAAAAGACCAAAAGGATAAAAGTAAGGATTTATTTGTCTTCCATTGGCTGATTCTGGGATTCCGGTTGTAGCATTATTAAGTTGTTAAATACCAGTAAATGAAGCTACCTCTTCATCTGTAACACACGACTCCGGAGTCCGGATCTCCTGCCCACGTCTACCCACAATACACACAAATTTCAATGATCTCAATTAATTAGTCCTAAACAGTAAATTCCTAATGAAGATGATGGATTACCTATATGGACTGCCGAATGTTGATACAGTGATGCCAAAACTGCCAATATCAGGTTTTTAGAGTATTTCTATTTTCTTGCAACAGCTGAGCGGGTTGACCTTCCATTACACTTGGCCAGTGTGGCAGTGTTCGGAACTGATGCCTTCTTCAAAAAGACCGCCACATCACCACCACAAATGAAATCCGGTTTTTCATATTAGAGGTTCGGGCCGTGCGGGCGGCATGACGGAACGCGGGCCACGTCGGCCACGACATGAAACACGACCCGTACGGTCGTGCCAGCTTGGGTTTTCAAGTCTATGGACTGACACGCCGTGCCATCCGTGGCCAGCGTGTAGAGTAGCATATTCTCGCCGTGTATTGGTAACATCTCCGGATAATAGTACCAGTCCCCATGATAACATCATCGGGAGATGTTCCCAATACACAGCGGAGATGTATTGTGGGGCGGTGATTTCCAACATATAGGCACGGCCTAGCAAAACCCATTTTAAAATTTTTATTATTTTTTTTCAATTTCTTTAAGAAAATATATCTCAAGGGAGGGAAGCATGGCCCAGCTCAGCCCGTGATCCGGCACGGTACGAACTGTCCATGAACCGTGTCATGCTAACCCAACACAACTCAATTTATACCTCTATTTCAGACCATCTAATGTTAGGTTATATGTTTGTCTCAGAAACATTTTTTAAGACCACGTCTTGAAAATTGATAAAGATATGATATGAGAAAAGGATCCTTTCGGTATTTTTTTTTGTTCTTTAGCAATATGCTGGCGTGGCATTGGAAAACACTATTACTATGTTTGGTTTGAAGGAAAAGGTAGGGAAAGGAAAGGTGGCATTGGAAAATACTATTACTATGTTTGGTTTACAAACCTTTACAAATGTAGGTTTGTAAAGCTTTCCCTACTTTTTCCTTCAAACCAAGCACAACCTATGTGCCAGCAACCAACAGTTCCAGACAAAAAAATTAAAAAAAAAAAAACATTTTCCAAAAAAATCAGCATGCCAATGTAACACCATTTTCTTTGAAAAAATTGCAATACCCTTTTCTCAAGAAATACCTATGAAGAAATGACATTGGTTCAAACATGACCTTATTTCAAAGGGCACCATACAACTTTTCTCCCATGCAGAATGGTAACGACCCTAGCCTAGGTGGGTTCAAGGTTTTAAAACGCAACAATTAGTGCGCATTGTGCTGTGCCGCCTTCCCTTGGGAAAACTTGGGAGTCGGCCCGGCACGCCCCATGGCCCAAGCCCATGTAGGCCCGTGTCATGTTGCAGGTCGGATTGGCCCATGTGCCAGATCGGGCCATGGATTGGGCCAAAGCTATTTATTTAAAAAAACTAAAAAAAAACTTAATATTCTAATTTTATATGAATTTTGGTGTATACAATTGCTTATATATGCCGGGCCATAGGCGGTACATCCCGATTTACACCTCTAATAAGGGTGTCCATGGACCAGTTTTGGATTGGCTCCCATGCAATCCAAAATAAATTTAAACGAATTGGACAAACCAACAAGACATATTGGATTGGACCAATCCGGTCCAAAATATTTATTAGATTGGATTGGACCATTCAATCTGTCTGTAATAAAAATTCATATTGGATTGGGTTGGATTAAGCCAATATCTAGTCCACTGATATAAGGTAAGAATATAGGTGTCGATGGACTGAGTTTGGGTTGAAACCAATCTAAATCAAAACGAATTTGAATAGATTAAATAGTCTAGACATTGAATTGGATTGGATTAAATTGGACTAAATCCAGTCCAATTGGCACCCCTACATACAACACTTAGATGGCAAATACATATCATGGAATCATGTGGGTCCCACATCAATAACACAATATGAAAAAAGACAAAAAAACTTGAGAAACTTTTATAACTTGTTGCATTAAAAATATATATAAAAAATGAAAAGAAGCAATGTATAACATCAAAATAAGTAATATAAAGAAGTATAAAATGTCTATCAATTTCATTAAATCTATTTATCAATGTGTTGGAAGTTGTTGATATCCATGTTTATCGGCTAATTGATTAGCAATATCAATCCTTGCCCTTTTCATTGTTTCATCTCGATCACGAACACTTAAATTTAGTGTTTGTGTGCTTAATGATGCAACTATGTTGCTATCTTTGATAGCTTCTTCATTTTCATATATTCCGAATAATGGATCTTCTTGATCAAGTAATGTCTCTTGCCGAATAAAATTATGAAGTGTACAACATGCAATGACTATGCGCCTTTGTGTGTCAATATTGTACGGCTTCATGTGGTTCAAAATTTGAAAATGTTCCTTTAACACTCCAAAGCATCGTTCTATTACATTACGAAGCGATGAATGATGAAGGTTAAACAGTTCACGAGCATCTTTCGGTTGCTGTCTCACTGTCCTATATTCTTGCAAATGATAACAATCACCTTTAAATGGGGTGAGAAATCCTGTAATGGTGGTGAAACCCGAATCCGCTACATAATATTTACCTAAAACACAATAAATACATATATATAAATTTATATAATTTTTTCTTAAATTTTATATTCTATATAATTAAAATTAATCATAAAATTATTTTCATACCACTTGGAGGCATTGGGAACTCAAGTTCAGGCCGTTAGAGCATGCAATAAAGAGAGGAAAAGAAGTGTTGGAAAAAGATTGCTTCGGGATTGTGACTATCTCCTACAGTGTTAAACCATTTTACCTATTTTGGTGCAAATTCTGTACCAGTACCTGAAATGCAAATCATAAATAAGTAAAAAAGCAAACTCATTGAACCGGGTACAAATTTTGCACCTGTCAAGATGCACAGCACTGCAACCAAATGCAGCTAGCTAGCCTTTTCACTCTCCAATTTTGGGCTGATTATAGTGTACAAAAGTAGAAAAATCTTCTTGCTTTGGATTGAAACGTATGTTAATTTAACTGTTGTGGGTCATGGTTAATTAATTAGATTGCAGAGCTTCAAGCGGCAATGGATCACCAACAAGTTATGTTAGAGCAGAAGAACATGGAACAACAGCCAGTTTTGGATCATTTCGTACTTTATGCTGAGGATCAAGGGAGAAATATGCTTCAGCTCTCTACTTTCTCTCCCCAGATTCACCCTTACCGTCTCCAGTTAAATTAACAAGAAAAAACTACTATGTACTAGGTCAATATGTATGATCCAGATTCTTAAGCTTGTTTAGTGTGCCTATATGAACATGATAAAATACTGATGCTGGTAGCCCATAATAGGTTGATACTTCATAAACACTGTCACACTCTGAATGGGTATAAAACTGTTTTGTCTACTGGATCATTGGTCAAATGATCCAACTATCTGGTTTGACTGCTTTACTTGCTGAAGCAAAAAATGTGAAAACAAATATTAAATGGTTCCAGCTATCTGAAAGCTCTTTTGCATTAAAATAGGCCTAAAACAACATTTCTAAGAACTGGGCACTTGAAGAACCATTTTAGCTGCCTATTTCTAGTCTGTCTGGTCTAATCTGAGTCTGATAATAGTGCTTTTAATATGATTTCTCGTTCTCTATTTTACTAAACTGCTTACAGTGTTCTTTTCCATTTTTTGTTTGGAGATGTATAACTATTGTATGATGAAGAACCTTGAAGTAAATCTGAGCAAATTTGGCATAATATAATTATAATGTGGCATTGACATAGTGAATTAAACACTATCAGTATACATGTCTTGAGTTTTGAAAAATAAGAGCTGTACTAACAGAAACAGTACCTATACCCATAATTGGGCTAGATCTTTATAGCCGTGGTGAGTGATTAGAAACTTGCAAAGTCGAAGCTGATAGTGAGAGATTCACTCTTTCCCTTTGATCAGTGAAATGCATCAGTTGCTTTCAAATTTCATGGACAAACATGGCCATTGCAAATCCAATTATACCTATGATTCCTCAGTAGTTATAACTTTTATGCATAGATCTCCATTTCCAGATAGGCTATGAGCCTATGACATGGGGACCCACTTAACTGTTTCTCTGTATTGCTCTCCATGCTGAAGTGCTTGTCTTAATTTTATGAAATTTAAACTGTATCTATTATGTTGCAGAATTAATATCTGATACTTGCATTCTTGCAGCCAATATCTGATAAAGTCAGTTTTTTTAAAGCTAAAAATGCTAGAAGAAGGTGTGACTAGATTGGCTATTCACGGTCTTATTGGGAGCTCAGAGAAAGAGAGAGAGTATGCGGTAAAGTTATTACTTGAATTTTCAAGTGATGAAGATTATTGTGCAAAAATTGCATCAGAGAAAGGAGCCTTAGTTCTCCTCTCAAGCGTGGCTGGGAATCAGGAGCATCCTTCTTTATCTAACCTAGCTGAGGAAATCTTGAAGAGGATGGAAAAGATTGAGGATAATGTTCATCAATTAGCAGCAGCAGGGAGATTTCAACCTTTACTTACCCGGCTATGTGAAGGTATGTTATATGTGATTTACCACTTCAACCAGTAGTTTAAAAATGCTTTGGATTAGAGGCTATAGCAGAAATGGTTGACATGCCACATTGCAACCAGGTGGTTGAGCCTACCTCCAAATTGGAAAAAGATATACACTTAATATATCGAAATGAAAATTATAAGGTTTAAAATTGATAATTTTTATCTAGAAAATGTGTGAAAATGCCGTAACCTATCTCATAAGTCATAACCATTATGTAATATAGCCATACATACATGCGTATATATGTAATATATATAATAGATTTATTATCTAAAATTCCCCTTCACTTTTCTCCATTTCTCTGAAACATATCTGGACTGCT